TTAGGTCTCTAGAATCTCTCAATCAAATTTTTCCCAGAGGTGACCGAACACTCTGTATATGCTGTCGTTACTTTTGAAAATGTTTGATTTTATTTATTTTTCCGCCAATCATTGTCAACTAAAGTGTACGCTTAATTTTGTTAGTAACTGTATATCTTATTAGTATTTATAAATTGTCATTGTTAAAAATACAACGGTTAGGCTCGAATACGAGGGAGTAGGAGGCGAAGAAAAGTAAATTGTACAAGTTTTATTTGTATTAAAATTTTCGCGTATCCTCAGCAGATAAGCAGTTTATTTAATATTCGATATGTTGGTATTTCTGGGTCGATGCACCGAGGACCGCTACGGCTGTTATCTCGGTATCCTGAAACAAAAAAGAACAACGCTGTATAAATACTGTGTTTTCCTCGCGCTTCTGGCAACGATAATCATGCTCTCTCGATAAAAAAGGAATGGAATACAAAATGAAAAACAACAAAAACAACCAACATACACTGTTTGGAATTCCAAATATAGTATATTGTATAACACGTCATTTTTTTTCAATATTACTTAAATTACTTAATTTGGTCATCTGGCAACTGTACATTTTTTGACAGTAGTGTGATGCTGCTTTGCTGCGGGTAAGAACTCGAGAGAATCTTGTAGGAGGCGCGAAAAGGAAAGGAGGGTCGACATTAGTAACGATGAACTTCCTTAGCGTCTAACGGAGTGGTGGGGACAGCAGGCATATGCTACCGCAGGAGCCACGTGTACGTGAGCTCTGCACTTCGCACATCTTCGGAAAATCGATAAAGAACGCTAGTGTAAATGTTTCGGCCACGAAACAAATATTCGCAGATTCACAAATGTTGCTCGTGGTCGTTGCGTATAGCACAGCCACTCTGTGCCCTTAACCTTGACCGTAACCCTAAGAAGTTGTTGCTTCTGATACGCAGAACTGAATTCTGCGGATACTGACTATTGAGGAGGTTTCTATGTTCAAATTAATCAATCTGCCTTCCCGTTCTCAATTTTCCCATAAGGAAACCTCGGCTTCCCCCGCCAAGGTGACAACGACGAACATTGTCTACCGGAGGGAGGATTGGTCAAGCCAATCCACATCATCGTCACCTTGGCAGGGCGGTTCCTAACAATTTGCAACATTCCCGCCCACCCTGCCGTCCAGTGTCCAGGCAAACCATGCAGGAGCGAGCGAGAACGCTGCATTATTATTAACCTTTGGGAAACGCCCAATGACCGCGAGACCCCGGCGGTCCGCAGCCGTGCGCCAACGCGGAGCCACGATACGCCAATCGCTATTGAGGCAAGGAAGAGCTCCAAGGATTCCAGGTCCCGTGTGGAGTTTGGAGGCTCCTCAATGACCGTATCCCAATCCATCAAGCAAAAATGTCTTGAAGGCCTAATCCTCAAAAATAGCGGAGAAGTCACGCCCGTATCACAAACCCGCTCGTTGTACCAAGCCTGAACAGTAAGCCTTTCATTCTTGCTCTAGAAACAGCTGAAATACGGTCCCGCGATAATCGACATACGATTCCAAGTCTCGACTACCCCAGAGCATTTTTACTTTCCGGCGTATGCAAGGTATAAGGAAAGTATCATAATGAAAAAAATTTCGAAAATTTTTTTAGCGAAAATACACATTTTAAGACCCCCTGATCATATTGTGACTATTAAAAAAAAAGAATTTTTTTTTCCTATACTATTAACATGATAGTGTCTAAACGGCTGAATGAATTTCAATGAAACTTTACATTTAAGTTTTATGTTCTCATTTCAAGGTCTGATTAGATTTTGCGCGTGATTAGCTCCCGAATAATGATGATTATACGTCTTATAGTTTTAAAATTATTTCGATACATATGCATTATTTATAAAAAATTTTTAAAACGATTTATATAAATCTTAAGAATAATTAAGATCAAATAAAGTTTTCTTCTATTTTTTCGAGAAAGGAAAAATTAAACGAAATCTTATACATTGCAAATCTACCTAAACAGCATTAAAAACGTATTCCACAAATATTTTAGAATAATGTTGTTCAAAGTACTCTCACTCGTAAAGGGTTAATTAAGAAATAAATATTTAGAAATTGAAATAAGTAAACTTTATTAAAATAAAAAAACACTCCTAACTAGTACCGTGCACGTTGTAACAAACTTCAGTAACAAATAGTTTCTAAAGATATAGATTAATACTGACTTTTCCCGCTATGTTTATCAATAACCATATCAATTTGTTACACAGAATCAAATGTTATACAGGGTAGTCCACGCAACTTGTGCAGCTCTGTAATTTCCAAAATATGCGTTACACGACAAATTTTTATCTACAAAAGTTGCATAGTTTAATTGGATACATTACATAGTATATTAATTTTTTTAATCAATGGAGACGTTTCTGAGATTTGAAGGTCAACTTTGTTATTTTAAATAGAATACTATATTTTTTATATCAAAATATGGAAGAATATCGAATTCTGAGTAAAAAAGTATTGACCTTTATTAGCCCTAAACCTAATAGCTAAAGAGGAATTTGACTTTATTTCTTGAAAATTCTCACTATTCTGCAGAAATCTGTGATAAGGTTGAGTCTCCATTTTAATATTACATGAAGAAAATTGTCAAGAAATGAAGTGAAATTCCTCTTTAGCTATTAATTTAGGGCTAATAAAGGTCAGTACTTTTTTACTCAGAATTCGATATTCTTCCATATTTTCATACAAAAAATATAGTATTCTATTTAAAAAAACAAAGTTGACCTTCAAATCTTAGAAACGCCTTCACCTATAAAAAAGTAAATGCACAACATAATGTACCCCTTTAAACAATGCAACTTTTGTATACGAAATTGTTTCGTACAACACATATTTTGGATGTTACAGACTTGCACATGTTGCCTGGACCACCCTGTATATTTGACTTAAGTTTACATAACAAAATAATTGAAGTATGGGACAAACAATAACGTGCACGTTACCGTTCAATGGAAATCAAAACGATCTCAATTTCCCTCCTTCCATTAGGATGCAAAAAATCGTTATTTATTTGTAACATTACCGCACGCCGTATATTAATACGTCCACATTCGTCTTACCTCTTTTTTATTCCCCACTGAATTCATTATTGTAAAATGGAATACATTAAATTGACTGCTATTCATGCAATAGAATTTTATTTTTAATTATTGCCCTTTAAAAACCTACGGAGATTAGGCTATGTACATATGTATGTCTACGCCCCTTCTTTCTCCATCCTCGTCGTTTCTACGACCCAGCGACCCACGAAGAGTATTGTTTAAATATGTTCAAAACTATTTCAATTCGCGTTCGTCCGTGAAATATTATTTCTCGACTAGCGAGTCCCGTATCCGTTTGTGTACGTGACATTCCGGAAGGTTAGGCTGTCGCCGAGTTCGTTCGGCGTACAGACAGTTTAAAACCGCGGCCGTTTACGTGTTTTGTACGCTGACCTCACGCGAAGATTCGCTTCAAACGCCATTTAAACGGCATAGTGACGTCAGCATCGAGAGAGAGAACCGTATCGTTAATTGAAAAGAGATCGACAATCAGATTCGACAGCGCCACGTCGCGACGACGAGGCGCGACCGAGTCTTCGTCTGTCGATGCTCGACGATTTTGGAAATTATTCACGAGCCGACTGCCAACGGGAGCGGATCCCAGACGATCTCGCTCCTCAAGTACGCGCTCCGCCGAGCAAGCAAAAAGCTTCTCAGCTAGAAATAATTAATTTTGGACTCTGTAAAGAATTCTCATCGTTGCTGCGATTTGAGATTTCAAAAAAGAACAATCACTTGAAGCGAAGGAAGTGGTCTAGTGCACGCAGCGCGTGACGTGACCGCGGACGCGAGAAGTTGATTGTACGTTGCAGTCGTTGCCGCGACCGCGACGTAAGGGACTCAGGGTGCACGCACCTAGAATCCCTTTAAAGCTATACGGCTTCGGAGCCTCCCAAAGGTCCTACCGATAGTTCGGTACCGCCTCGTGGAGTGTTTACCGTGTAAAGGCCACTGCGAACCCTCTCCGAAAACCCGTCAGTGTACGAGTCGACCGTACACTCAACGGCGGAGTTCGGGTTCAAAGCGCCTCCCTTCCGTCACGCCGCCTACCACATACGGTCCCCGTGAATACGGTCGCCGGGTAGGCTTTATAGTGCGGTTGGACCAGCCCGAGGTTTTTCTGTGTAAATTCGCTTACTGTGCAGTCCCCGATATTAACGGTCGCTGCACAGTAGATATAAAGTGTAGCAGGAAAAACACGCCTCGCGCGACGTTTATACGTCACCCACACGGTGAACGTGCTCACGGGACCCACTCACTTGGAGCCTTACAACCTCCATTTGGTGACCCGTCCGTGGCATCACAGAGCCCCCGACGGAATCGAGTCCAGTCTCATCTGTTCAGGGCAAAAGTCTCGTCGATCGTTTTAATTAATAACGATTCGCGAGCAACAATAAAATACAGTCCACTTGCTTACGCTTAACGAGAGCTGATCTCCCCCCTCCAAGCGCGACGATAGTCGCGAGGAGAGCGAGGCGAACAGCTGACGAGCGTGTTTACGATACGTGCAATCACGTATTTAATTCTGGTCGATCCTTTGTTACAGGAATCAAGGGCCAGCACCGCAGCCAGGGCAACGCCCATAGGGCAACCCGGCCCGACCAAGAAAAAATATATTTATTTTAAATTTTTTTTATTTTTTATTTTTGTATTTTCTATTTTTATTTTTCACAGTTATAAAATAAAAGGCTTGTCGCTGCGCGACAAGCGAAAATACAAATAAATTGTGTCAACTTAACTTTCCCTGAACTTTCCCTCATCCGGACCCCGGTTAGAACCCTTAGATTCTAACAAACGGTCCTTCGAGCCGGATAGAGGTTGAAAGAAAAGGAAAGAGTTGCAAGTGCATTCACGTAAGTCGCTGCTTACGAGACGCTTAATTTCGAGTCGATTACCCAATCCTCGAATTAGAGATCAGCATGTCTGTGTCTAATGCTGAAGGTCGAAGCGAGTTCGATGTCGATCTCGACGACCTAATCACCCGGTTCGACTTAATGACAAAGGCGATCACTTATTTAAAGAAACGCGGTCGAGCCCAGTGCACTGAGGAGATCCTCAAAACAAGGCTCGCCACCGTAACCGAACAGTACAAGGAGGCTATACAGCAGTACTTGGCTCTTCGGAGAAAATATGCCCCTGCGAAGCGCAACACGTGCGACTTCCTTGCAAAAGGTGGCGTAGAAGCTAAGGAGGAAGAGTTTATGGAGTTTCAGGAGTACGTTGCCACCGAGCTGACCAGACTGGCCGCTGAATCAAAAGCGGCAACAACGTCGGTCAGCTCACATGATGTCGCAATCGAACTCCCAAAACAACGCCTTCCCAAGTTCGGAGGTGATCCACGAAAATGGAGACATTTCGAGGATCTTTTCACCTCCGGAATAATAAATAATCCGAGGCTGTCAGATGTGCACAGATTGCAGTATCTGAACGCCTGTCTGGAGGACAAAGCGTTGGCGGCGATCGCGCACCTCGAAGTTATCGATGATAATTTCACGGTGGCGTGGAAAACCCTGAAAGAACAATTCGGGATACCACGTATCGTGACTGCCAAATTGCTAAGTCAATTAACAAAATTGAAAACGATCAAAAGAGATGATCTGGATAGCCTAAACCAGGTCGTCGTCGTTTTCAAACAGGCCCTCGCGGCGCTCGAAAAGCAGGGCACAATTTTAGAGCAGCGAAATTGGCTGCTGGCCCACAGCATTCGAAGCCACTTGGAAGGGTCTCTTAAAGCTGAGTGGGAAAGGTCGCAGCGTCTCTCCCCGAACTATCCCTCGCACACCGAGTTGATAGAATTCCTGGAGGGGCATGCACGGGCTCTGACCATGTTAGACGATGGTCCGAGCAAGCCTGCGACCGAACACCCACAAAAGCACAAAATACGGAGTCACAACTCCGTTCTAGAAAGCCCCGCTGGAAAAAGCGTGACTTGCGGATTTTGCGGCCTCGAACACAGAATGACCCAATGTGGTGCATTCCGTAATTTGACGCCGAACCGCCGCTATCAATTTATAAAAGATAGCCAGCGGTGCATTCTCTGCTTGTCACCTCAGCATGGGAACGCGCGTTGTCCTTCCGAAGAGGCATGCACGAAATGCAATGGCAGACATCATTCTCTGCTGCATTTCGAGTCCTTTCGGAGCGAAACCGAAAGTCGCAAACCCGCGACAATGGCTTCGCAAGACAAACGCCAGAAAAAGCGGTCTACGGCCCCACCAAGCCGGCCGCAGCAAGCCGAACGAGCTGCTCGTACCACGACGTCACAGGCAACGACGTCACAGCCTAGTACGTCACACTGTACCGCGATAGGTGCAGACGTACCGACGGCTGTGTTGTTAGCCACGGCGAACGTACGTGTGTACGGAATAAACGGTGCGTCGCGAATCGTACGCGCACTGATAGATCAGGGTTCTGAGTCGTCCTTCATCTCCGCGAATTTGACGAATGACCTCAAATTCTTGCGGAGGAAACCCCCAGCCACAGTGACTGGCTTGGGGGGCGGCAAAACCCAGACAATTAAATTCAGCGTCGAGATGAATTTGGGAACGGTAGAAGGTACCGAGCCGACGGTCAAGACGAAAGCGTATATCGTGCAAAAAATCACGAGCTACGTCTCGCCGTTGGCAAGTGCGCTCAAATGCGACGCGCTAAAGGACCTACCGCTCGCAGATCCCGACCCTGCTTCCGGTCAACCGATTGAAGTGTTGATCGGCGCGGACTTGTACGCGCAAATTATTCGACCGGGTTTCCGTCGAATATGCAGTACGGGTCCAGTGGCCCAAGAAACTGCATTTGGCTGGATTCTGTCCGGCCCGACAAATGCAAAGGGCAGAAATAACAAAACTTTGCGGACATTGCACTGCAACGTCCTCGAATCGCTGGACACGGCGATTCGAAAGTTTTGGGAAGTCGAAGAACTCCCTTCGACCTCGGTACGCACCAAGGCGGAGGAGGAGTGTGAAACGCACTTCCAAAAAACCGTCGCTCGTGATGCGACTGGACGATTTGTCGTCCGATTACCTTTTACTCACCCGAGACCGGACGAAGCGCTAGGAAATTCCTATCGCATCGCTCTCTCCGCTCTCGGGAGATTGAGGAAAAAATTGGACGCAGATCAGACCCTCGTACGAGAATACACATCGTTTCTCACGGAATATGAGGAGCTGGGTCATATGACTCGAATAGAGCCCATTGACGAGACCAGACTCTACATTCCACATCGAGCGGTCGTACGCACAGAAAGTGCAACGACAAAATTAAGAGTCGTATTTAACGCGACAAGCCGAACTGCAGGCGGTCGCTCGTTAAATGACATCCTACACGTAGGTCCAAAATTGCAGAACGACATCACGTCAGTCTTGACCCGATGGCGTCTGTATGAATACGTGTTGGTGGCCGACATAGAGAAAATGTTCCGACAGATTCTCGTCGCCCCACAGGATCGTCGTTATCAGTGCATCCTATGGCGCACGCCCGAAACCGAACAGCTGAATGCGTTCGAATTAAATACCGTAACGTACGGTACGGCGTGTGCACCATACTTGTCGATGCGAACCCTTCTCGAGCTGAAAAATCAGGACGGGCACAGGTACCCCCTTGCCGCCCCGATACTCGAGCGGGACATATACGTAGACGACGTTTTTATGGGAGCACCCGATACGTCGTTGTTAGAGAAAATTCGCAATCAAGTTTGCGAACTCTTACAACGAGGTGGGTTTAAGCTGCGTAAATGGGCAGGTAATTCGCCGTTATTACTGCGAAATATTCCCCAAAGCGCTCACTCCCACGCCGTCGACCTTACCTTATTCGATGACAGCGAATTAAAGGTTTTGGGTTTACGCTGGATACCGTCCGGCGATTATTTTTACTTCAATCTGCAGCGGTTTCAGCCGTCTGCCGTGCCGATGACAAAACGAAATTTGTTTTCGGAGATTGCTAAGTTGTTCGATCCGCTCGGCTGGTTATCACCAGTCGTGATTCGCGCAAAGATTTTGATGCAATCCCAATGGCTGGAGAAAATCCAGTGGGACGATCAAATCTCAGCGAATACGCTCAATACGTGGAATACGTTTTGCGTGGATTGGAGCAGCTTAAACAAGTTAAAAATCCCCAGATGGATTAATTACGGAGCCGACACAATGTCCGTGGAAATTCATGGATTTTGTGACGCTTCGCTCGCGGCCTACTCAGCGGTCACATATTTACGTGTGACAGCAATGAGCAATGTCACCTCCTCGACATTGATAATGGCAAAAACGCGGGTGGCTCCGATTAAAACGCAGTCAATTCCTGTATTAGAATTGAACGGCGCCGTGCTCCTCGCCGAGCTCATTGTGCACGTGGAAAGGTCACTTTCACTGAAGGTCGACCAAATAATCTGCTGGACAGATTCCACGATCGCACTAGCATGGTTGAGAAAGCACGCCTCCACATGGAAGGTTTTAATAGCCAACCGTGTGTCAAAGGTCCAAACGTTACTCCCGAATGCTGAATGGAGGCACGTTCCCACCCGCTTCAATCCCGCGGATCTGAATTCGCGTGGAGTGGAAGCTGCGGAACTCCTTCAATCTAAGCTGTGGATTTCTGGACCAAGTTGGCTAACAGAATCGAAAGATTGTTGGCCGAAAACACCTTCGTCCATCGAGACCGAAGAAGGGAAGCGCAAAGTGCACGCCCACGTAGCAATTCCGGAGAAAGAATGGGAACTTGTATTTCGATTCTCGACCTGGAACAAGCTACTTCGCGTAACCGCATACTGTCTCAGATTAAGGAGACCGATGCAAGGGGAGCGAAGGTCGTACGATGCGAAGTTCGTTGAGGCGTCTGAGATGCAGCTCGCAAGCGAAAGAATTGTCCGCTACATCCAGCGCACGCATTTTGCAAAGGAGTACCGGTGTTTAAAAAATCACCGGAAAATTCCAGCAAAATCAATGCTGAAAAGTTTGAACCCCTTTCTCGACGATAAAGATGTCTTGAGAGTCGGGGGCAGACTGGAAAATACAGCACTGCCATGGGAAACCAAGCATCCCATAATTTTGCCGAAACATCACGTTTCCACGATGATAATTCGGCAGTGCCACGTTGATACGTTGCACGGGGGATTGCAGTTAACCATGTATACGGTGCGACAAAAATTTTGGATTCTCGGCTGTCGAAATGCAGCGCGAACGGTAATCCACGGATGCATGCGATGCGTTAGATGGAGGGCAAAAACTCCCACGCAAATCATGCAGGATTTAATACCGGAGCGTTGCCGCGAGGCGAGAGCATTTTCGAACTGCGGAGTGGATTATGCTGGACCTTTTCGTGTCCGCGACTCCGCCGGTCGAGGGAAAACCGCCCACAAAGCGTATATAGCAGTTTTTGTCTGTTACGCGACACGGGCTATCCATATCGAACTCGTCCACGATTATACGACGAGTGCCTTTTTGGCGGCGTTAGATCGATTCATTGCACGAAGGGGAGTTCCGTCCTGCATTTTCAGTGACAATGGAACGAACTTTGTCGGTGCAGATCGAGAATTACGTGAAAATTTCGAGGCTGTGTACAACACGCCAGAAATGCGTAATAAATGCAGTCAGAAAGGAATTAAATGGAAATTTAACCCACCGAGTGCACCGCACTTCGGTGGCATGCAAGAAGCCGGCGTGAAATCGATGAAATTTCACCTGAAGCGGACGCTGGGCGAATTCACTCCCACAAGCGAAGAATTACAGACGTTGCTCTGTAAAATCGAAGCAAGTTTAAACTCGCGACCGATTGCCGCTTTGAGTGATAGCCCGGACGATTATGCGCCGCTCACACCGGGACACTTCTTAGTAGGAAGTCCGCTAAACGCGCTTCCGACGCAATCCGTGGAAATTGAAAAACTCTCTCGTTTGACACGTTGGAGGGCGATTCAAAAATTCCATGAACAAATCTGGAGGCATTGGACACGTGATTATCTCACGCACCTCCAGAATCGTTACAAGTGGCGTACAGCCCAAAAAACATTAAAACTAAACGACTTAGTTTTGGTGCAAAACCCTCTCCTGCCCCCGAATCAATGGGAAATGGGGCGAGTAGAGGAGGTATTCACCGGCAGGGATGGAAATGCACGTGTGGTTAAAATACGCACGGCAAAATCCATTTTTACGCGACCTATAACGCGGTTGTGTAAGCTGCCTGTGGAAGATACCGAGTCGGCGACGGTTAGCGACGCCGACTAGGTCACATAAAAACCATAACATCCAACGGCTGAAAGTGATCGGAAGGTGAGAAACGATCGTTTCTAGAAACAAACGACGTTGATTTTCAACTGACCGTTGTCACTTGAAGTTCAAACGGATTAGTGGGGGTTACGAATCCACCGATCTGAGTTGGATGATTGGTCGGGCGCGCCTAGCAATCCGAGCGCCCCCGACCCTAAGCGGAACCCGCGGAGCCGAAAATCGTTCAATTCCAAAGAAACCACGATGTCTGAAACCGCGTCGAATGTCTCGTGCGAGGGGAGTGGGGTCTCGCTCATCGGGGATCCCGAAATGGACGAGCGGTTTGGCCGCATCCTCCAAATCGGGGAGCGAGCGTGTTCCCCGAAAAGCAACGACGAGGTCACCGCGCCGGAACAGCCGCGGAGTGAGCCCGAGGTGACCCTTAACCTCTGGCGAGATAGCTTCAACATGCCGGCCCGGATCCTCACGACCTCACGAAAATACCATCACCGGGCCCCCGGGGGACAATATGTTCTTCGGAGGGACGCGGAGGGGCATCTGAGATCGTACCAATGGCGGACCGACCGGACAGAGGAGAATTCGGCTCAGCCGCCCGCGCCGGCCACTCCAACGCCGTCGGGAACAGCCCCCGCCGAACGGGTGCCACCCCCGAAGCGGAAAGCGCAAGGCCAGGCCAAAGCGACCAGCGCCGGCCAATCCGGGGCCTTCCACAAGCGGCCCCCAGCAGCCTCCGGCGGTTCCCGCAAAGAAACGGAAGCGATGGCAGCCGTTTGATCAGATCGCCTTCACAAAGGCGATGGCGGACCAAATGTTAACCACATCGATGCGTTATCTGCATCAAGCTGCCGCTGGTCAACAGTAAGTACTTTTGATTTTTTATAATTGAAAGTGCGCGAGTTCTCTCTCTTCGCGTAAAATAGTGACCGTACGGGACTACCGCGATCTCCGGGTATTGCACAATTCGTGCAAGGGGGGCGGTATGTTTAAATATGTTCAAAACTATTTAAATTCGCGTTCGTCCGTGAAATATTATTTCTCGACCAGCGAGTCCCGTATCCGTTTGTGTACGTGACATTCCGGAAGGTTAGGCTGTCGCCGAGTTCGTTCGGCGTACAGACAGTTTAAAACCGCGGCCGTTTACGTGTTTTGTACGCTGACCTCACGCGAAGATTCGCTTCAAACGCCATTTAAACGGCATAGTGACGTCAGCATCGAGAGAGAGAACCGTATCGTTAATTGAAAAGAGATCGACAATCAGATTCGACAGCGCCACGTCGCGACGACGAGGCGCGACCGAGTCTTCGTCTGTCGATGCTCGACGATTTTGGGAATTATTCACGAGCCGACTGCCAACGGGAGCGGATCCCAGACGATCTCGCTCCTCAAGTACGCGCTCCGCCGAGCAAGCAAAAAGCTTCTCAGCTAGAAATAATTAATTTTGGACTCTGTAAAGAATTCTCATCGTTGCTGCGATTTGAGACTTCAAAAAAAGAACAATCACTTTAAGCGAAGGAAGTGGTCTAGTGCACGCAGCGCGTGACGTGACCGCGGACGCGAGAAGTTGATTGTACGTTGCAGTCGTTGCCGCGACCGCGACGTAAGGGACTCAGGGTGCACGCACCTAGAATCCCTTTAAAGCTATACGGCTTCGGAGCCTCCCAAAGGTCCTACCGATAGTTCGGTACCGCCTCGTGGAGTGTTTACCGTGTAAAGGCCACTGCGAACCCTCTCCGAAAACCCGTCAGTGTACGAGTCGACCGTACACTCAACGGCGGAGTTCGGGTTCAAAGCGCCTCCCTTCCGTCACGCCGCCTACCACATACGGTCCCCGTGAATACGGTCGCCGGGTAGGCTTTATAGTGCGGTTGGACCAGCCCGAGGTTTTTCTGTGTAAATTCGCTTACTGTGCAGTCCCCGATATTAACGGTCGCTGCACAGTAGATATAAAGTGTAGCAGGAAAAACACGCCTCGCGCGACGTTTATACGTCACCCACACGGTGAACGTGCTCACGGGACCCACTCACTTGGAGCCTTACAACCTCCATTTGGTGACCCGTCCGTGGCATCACAGAGCCCCCGACGGAATCGAGTCCAGTCTCATCTGTTCAGGGCAAAAGTCTCGTCGATCGTTTTAATTAATAACGATTCGCGAGCAACAATAAAATACAGTCCACTTGCTTACGCTTAACGACAGCTGATCTCCCCCCTCCAAGCGCGACGATAGTCGCGAGGAGAGCGAGGCGAACAGCTGACGAGCGTGTTTACGATACGTGCAATCACGTATTTAATTCTGGTCGATCATTTGTTGCAGTAATCAAGGATCGACCCAACCAGGGCAACAGCGGTGAGGCCTTCCACCCCCCTGGCAAAGAAATTATTTATTTTTGTTTATTTGATTTTTTTTAGTTTTTTTATTTTTGTAAAAATAAACGGTTTGTCGCAAAGTGACAAACGAAAAGACAAATCAAATTTGTACAAGTTCTCTTTCCCTGTCAACTCCCTCATTCCGGACCCCGGTTAGAACCCTTAGATTCTAACAAGTATAAACAAAACATTGTTGTCAACCTGCATGAGTCACTGCTTTAACAGCAGATAGAAAAAATAGAGATAAATTTTATTTGATCTAAACCCTTTGCGGACGAGACGCGACTCTCGGTCTCCACAGCGCACAGTGGTTCAGATTGGAAAACCGTGTGCCATTTCCTTAAAAAATCGACTTTCACATATCGATATTTGATAAGTGTATACTATTTACTTAAATGCCTTCAATATACAATATTACTACAATATTACTACAATATTACTACAATATACTGTTTAAATATCGCGTTAATTCGAAGCATAAAAGAATAGTAGAATAATATTCGTCACCCGGTATTGTTTTTCTGCGTATGTAACATACTCGAGAATGTTCGGCTCTCATGTCCGCTACGCGTAAACAAGACCGGATACAAAAACGGTCACATACGAATTTCTTCGAAACATCACGCGATCGACGAAACTACGCGTGATTTCGAGCTAACGTCTCGGCGCGTGTAGAAAGAGAAGGTACGACGATAATAAGTTAAACGAAGACGAATTCAAATTCGGATACAGCGCCGCTAGTCGGAGATTCTCCCCTCCGAATTTGACAAACCGTATTAGATCGTCACTCTTAATTCGGAATCGGCCGTGAGCAGATGGGAATACGATCCCGCTCCCCCGTAACTTCCAAGAAGTTCGAATAGTTTCGAGTCACTCGAACTTTTCGACGAAATTGTAAACGTGGGTTGGAAGTGCAGAACGAGAACGGATTGGGAACCCATCCGGTAACGTCAATACTTCCACAAAACCCGTTTACAATTTAAACCACTAAGAGTCATAAACGGGAACCACAAGTTCAGATACGGAAAGGATTGGAAGGACAATCCTATACCGTGAACTTGTACAGGGCGTTCAATACGGAACGGATTGAAGAACAATCTTATACCGTGAACCTCCCCAACCCGTTTATTATTTAAAAACCAGCTGTAAACGTGAACTTGTACAGGAAGTTCAGATACGGAAAGGATTGGAAGGACAATCCTATACCGTGAACTTGTACAGGAAGTTCAAATACGGAAAGGATTGGAAGGACAATCCTATACCGTGAACTTGTACAGGACGTTCAATACGGAACGGGTTGAAAAGCAACCCCATCCCGTGAACCTCCATAGCACGTTGATTAATTAAGCAACGTGGTGTCAGGCCCAATAGTAAGTCGACCCAAGGGCGCCGTTGGCAAACCGGCACCACACCGTGCCCGTACGCACGTAAGAAGGTGGTAAAGGGCCAAGGACCGGGTACGGTTGCAGCCTTACAACCTCCATCCGTTACCCTCTCCTACGATGGTCGAAACCAGCAGTCGGGAAAGAAACGAGGTTGAAGCTCGTCTTCCCCAAAACTGCAATCAGCTGTTTCCCGGTTTAAAGGGAACGCACACATAAATAAATACAGTCCACCTGTTTCGCCGCGTAACGCAGCGGCAGAGAATCCCCGCTCCTGAGTGCGACAAGCACAATCGGGAGCGCGTACGAATTAAAGCGAGACGGATAGAGTGACTAACGTTACCGTGTATTTACACCTAGTTCCGTCTCTTTTGTTTCAGAGCGGCGTGAAGCGAGAAGCCGCCATACACCGCCAAGAGCAGGGCATTTAAAGGCAAATAAACGGCGTCGTCGACCTGTTTCGACGACGCGAAAATAAAATAAAACGTGTGACAATTACTTTTCCATCCCCCTATTCCCTCGTGATCCGGACCCCCGTTAGACGAGGTTCTCAAATAAATATTTGAGCCCTCCATATTCTAACAATGCAAAAAATCGTTATTTATTTGTAACATTACCGCACGCCGTATATTAATACGTCCACATTCGTCTTACCTCTTTTTTTATTCCCCACTGAATTCATTATTGTAAAATGGAATACATTAAATTGACTGCTACTCATGCAATAGAATTTTATTTTTAATTATTGCCCTTTAAAAACCTACGGAGATTAGGCTATGTATGTATGTCTACGCCCCTTCTTTCTCCATCCTCCTACGACCCAGCGACCCACGAAGAGTATAAACAAAACATTGTTGTCAACCTGCATGAGTCACTGCTTTAACAGCAGATAGAAAAAATAAAGATAAATTTTATTTGATCTTAACCCTTTGCGGACGAGACGCGACTCTCGGTCGCCACAGCGCACAGTGGTTCAGATTGGAAAACCGTGTGCCATTTCCTTAAAAAATCGACTTTCACATATCGATATTTGATAAGTGTATACTATTTACTTAAATGCCCAGCAGTCTCGAAAATGGAGATATTGTTGCGACGGATTGAAGATGCATCGTTGCGGCTACGTGAAGGCTGTTCCGCAACGATGTGAAGCTGCTCCTTCGAACGAGCGGAAGCGAGAGCCCGTACCTTCCGGTTGCCAGAGGAACCGGCAACGATTTAAAAGAGAACTACTTTTACGATAATTTGTTCCG